TGTGTAATGAAACCCTAATTCCCAGGGTTTGAGACCTATTTAAAGGGGCTTATGGCCATCATTTGCGGCCACCAACCCCTAGAGAGAAACCCTAAAGAGATTTGAGCGTTTTGGGAGAGAAAAGAGGCCATTATTGACCTTTGGAGCTTGGTTTGGCAAGGCAAAGGAGATTCTAGCTAAGAAGAGGCAAGGGAAGTGGGCATTCTGCGATTTTTGGAGCTTAGAGCATCATCTTGGAGGTATATCTTAGCTTCCTTTTTCGTTTTTATGATGAACATGGGGGTTTAGGGTTTCTTGACCCCTTTGTTGGCTAGATTTGATGTCCATTTCATCCCTAATCATGATAAGGCTTGAGATGAGATCCATAGAGGTCCAGAAGAGCTGTATTCCTTAAGCCTTATGAGTGTTCATGAGAGCATTGGCCTAGATTTATGAGATATGGGACTAAAAGATCATTTATGAGCAAATAGTTATTGTTTGAGCCCCAAGGTTTGGACTTTACGTGATTATAATGCTTGGGGAGGCCAGATCTATGAATGTATGGAACAGATCTGACCTCAGAAGTGAGTTTGAGTTGTTGCATGACATGGACTCGCCGAGTCTGAAGAACAGACTCGGCGAGTAGCATGAAGATTGCCCAGCACCACTCAGCGAGTGGTCTTGCTGAGTTAAGGGATTGACTCAGTGAGTCAGGGAGAGTCATAGTGGGTTGACAGGTGGACTGAGTCAAGCTGGAACTCGCCGAGTTGTTCTTGAGACTCAGCGAGTTAAGTCATGGAGGCCCCACAACTCATGCCAGGTGGAACTCGTCGAGCTAGGAGAATACTCGTCGTGTCAAGTGAGGATCCCAGGGAAATCAGTGTATGCGCATAGACTCGCCGAGTCGCTATAGTGCACTCACCGAGTCCGGTCAAAGTTGACCGTTGACCATTGTCCAGTGTTGACCTATGTTGACTTGTTAAGGGATAGTCAACCTTAGTTGTGAAGTGTTATTTAGAGATGTATTGTGTTATAGGAGGACTATAGATCGGGAGATCGAGCACGAGTTATTTCAGGGACTTGCGAGTTACCGAGATACGCGAGGTGAGTCTTCTCACTAGACATACCTTGAGTAGGTAACTAGAGTTATGTGATACAGTGCTTGTATGCTATATTTGTGTTATGTGTTGTGTTGCATTATTCTTTGTGATTTATGATGTGCATATTTACAGAGTTAGAACCTGAGGGTTCACAGAGTTTGGGTGCACGGACCCACAGAGTTATAGCCTAGTGTGGCTAATATGTGTTATATGTGGTATTTTGGGGAACTCACTAAGCTTTGTGCTTACAGTGTTTGGTGTTAATTGTTTCAGGTACTAGTGACGACCGTGGGAAGGCGCCGGCTTGATCAATACACACGCATGGGATTTATGATTTTGAGATCTTGGGATTTTTGTATTACTTGGATTGAATTTCAATATGGTTGTTTTATGAATATTAAGTGAATTATGTTTTATAAAATTTGAAAAAAAATTGTTATGAAATTTACAGTGTTACATCAAAGGTGGTAAGGAGGTTGGAGGAAAGGACTTTTGGTCCTTTAAATAGGGTGTAATCCCTAAAAAATAGGGTTTCCATGCACAGCCTCTACTCGTCGAGTTGGGCTCCTTTAACTCGTCGAGTAGAAGTCATAAATCACACGGTCTGACTAGGTTCGACACGACTTGGGGCCTCCAACTCATCGAGTTCCCTCAATAAAATGAATACAAATCATTTAAAAGTTATACCTGGGAGTTGGGATGTTACAGGTAAGATTAGAATCCATTAAGAGTTTTTTTTTTTAGAAAGAGACACATGTCTTTGCAAACTAAGTTATTAAGAGTTTATGGGTCAAATTTGGTGTTTGAGGTCTACTTGAGCTTCTATATTGTTATTTATACGTTGGAATGAATTAATCATTAAGTCATCAATAAAAAAAAAGACTTAAATTAGATGAAATAATGATAATGAAAGTATTTTGGTTGTTTAGACTCAACTGTAAAGTTTGGTAATCATATGAACAAGATATAATGGTCAAATTTGTAAAATATAGGTATTTTCAACTTTTTCTTCACCTACAAAATGATCCCAAATGGGCCTATATTATCCTGGACATGCCTAACTCCAATTTCGAGTACTTTGGAGCCTGATCGGGCCTAATTAGGTGCACACACGGTCCTGGGAGTGCACCTAAATCATTTTGCTCATAACTTTTGCGTACATACTAAAAATCATGCATAATTTTTTCTTACGTCTATATTTTAAGATAAGAAATGTTTTAAAACCATAAAATTCTAAATTTGTAATGAATATATTAATAAGTTACTTAATGGAACACTTAGTAGGATTTTGACAAGACTATTGATACTAATAGGTGACATTTCAATTTCCAACCCATTCTAAAAGAATAAGGGATGTATTAAAAGATTTTAATTTCCTTTGAAGGTTAAAAAAGTATACCTTTGTCTTGAGGTGAGTTTACTAAGAGTATGAGTCCCTATATTTATGTCTTGTTTTAGATGTCTTCTATGATATTATATGTTAGATATGCTTTGAGTTGTTGTTGAAATTATATAATGGTTTCCCTATGTGAAACGTGTTTATTATATGTACTATTTGTCCATAGCATGGAATCTATTTTTGGAAAGTATGTTACTGAATTAATTTATGTTTTATGAGAAAACTATTTTTGTAGCATCCTTTATGCTAACACGTGTAGGATGGGAAATGGTGGGTGTCACTTATGATACATGAAGGTGTTTAACAAATTAGGTACCATTAAGTCGATGTGTAAGTATATTTTTAGATAATCCTCATGTTGCACATGTAAGGATAGGTACCCCTTATATGGCCTAGTATGATTGTTTACTAGTGCATAGTCTATAATTAAGCAAAGGGAGGAAATGATCTCATGAGCTCGAAAACAAAATGGAGGAAATTATCTCATAAGCTCGATGTTAACCATCTACTTTGGTGAGTTGGACTTTATGAGATTGACAAGGGTTAGGAATAGATGCATGCATTACATATTATTGCATATTAAATCCTTATTTACTCTTTTTGGAGTGTAGAGGTGATTTGTTAAGATTTTCTAACCAATGTTTAGCCTTGATTGTATATGGAGATGTAGGTTATATATTACCCTTTTTTATTGGTTTTTTTGGGTTCATTAGAACCCTAATTTTATTTGTGATATTTATTTGTAGAGGGTTGACATTTTCTTTGGATTATGAGGTACTAATTCATGTTGTATATATATGATGGGTTAGTAAGCCCTTGATATGAATTTGGTAATTATATTCTTGTGATACAAGTTTTTTAGTTATTAAACTCCATATTTTAGTTTATGAATTTTAAATCCTTGGATTTGAATATGGGTACATATACCCTTTGCACTTGTTATTCTAGTCTTAGTACTCTATGTCATTTTGGTTGTTTTGGGTCATTTGAACCCTAGTAAGTAGATTGATATATCTCACTCAAAATAGTCAACATTAAGTATTCTCACTAAGTAATTTTATTGTCTTACTTATTTTGATTTGTACTCAGATTGAAATCTTAAGAATTACTTAGAAGATAGCAAATATATTTTGAAGGCCTTGGGTTGTGAGGTGCAATCAAAATTTGTGATGTTATAAAATTGATGACTACCTCGATGGGTTTAAACAAAATTCTATATCTTTTTTGTACTTTGGAACTTAATCCAGTACAAAAATGTTATAATTATTTTAAAACGTATTAGGACTGTATATTTTTTCACAAATAAAACTCTAAAGTTATTTTATTAAAAAAATCAAATGATTCTTAAGTGTATTTTAAACTGTCCTAGCAAGTAATGCTTCATTTTCCATTAGAATTTTACTTTAGTGATCTAATGGTTGCCATTTTTCAATATTTATGTAGGCTTTATTGTTTACACTTCCCCGTAGGACCAAGTGTGTGTGATCTTGGTCGCCATTTTTCATATGATTTCCTAAGACCAATCTTGGCATTTGGTCGCCATTTTTCATATGATTTCCTAAGACCAATCTTTGCATTTAATACATAGCATGCTTCTTGTAATATCATTTCTTAAGACCGTTACTCGTTCACTTGATCTAAGTATTAGTTCACTTGATCTAAGTATTAGTCCTTCATTTAGCAAGAATGTTTTGGCATCTAACATAGTAATTGTGTTTTTATCATATATATAGTCTTATAGAAACGATTATACTTCTCAGGAAGACAACAAACAATTATAATTGTGTTTTTGGGTCCACTGGAGACGTGGGCCCTGAACGGTCACCCGGGTTGCATACCGTCTGAACCGGCTCTGACTCAATATTTTATATTGTATTTGAAGTTGATAAAGATATTTAAAAATATCACGTGTTAATGAAATATTTTATAAGGCAAACTTCTTCAAGGTTCTTCCAAAATATCCCCTAATATTATTTTCTAGGCTAATTTTTGTAATAACTTGTTCACCTATTGCGAGTTGCAATGTAGTGAGATTTAATTCAATATATCATATATTTTGTGTGAATTCGTGTAATGTGTACCTATTGAACATGATTCCTTTGAAGCATGGCCTTTATCTTCTACTCGTGCTTGCTAAAATCCTAAAATCAATCCCACTTTTCAATTTTGAGCTAAGAACCTGGTGCAGCATTAGAATGCAATGTAAGAACCATTTAAATAACTAGGATCAATGTGATCTCCAAATTTGATCACCAAGTGAACCCAATTGGCCCAAGTTTGATCACCAATTGAACCCAATTTGTTTTCCTAAATACGGAAACCCTAATGACACCTGCAATAAGTTAAACCAAGTCATGTCAATGACATACATGACACTTTTGTAGGCCATTACTCTACGTGGATGGGGATCTAAATTAAGTGGATAGGCCGATATGTCATACTCATTTGTCAAGTGTGCAATCATGATTAAATATCTTTTGTACTCTTTGGAGTACCACTAAGTTAAATGGAATTAGTGCTATGTCTTCACGATGTCAAAAACAACAAACAAACCACCGATTTCAACAAACACATTATATCTAATATGATTCATGGACCTTGTAGCAACGAACTAGAATATATGTTTACATTTCATTAACATTAGTCCACATTAATTACTTGTCATTTAAATGTTAACCACAAAACAACTAACCACTTGAAATCTTTTATTTTTGTTACAAACCTAAACATAAAATCAATGTGTTTGAAATGTATTGGGTTGCTTAGCTTGTACAAGCATCTGCACCACCTCTCTCATGGTAGGTCTCTCCACATTGTGCTCTTGGACACACAACATTGCCACGAACAACACTTGCTTTGCTTCTTCTAGAGGAACCTTCTTAAGCCGCTCATCCAAGATCTTGTCAACTCCTTCTTTCCTCCCATTTGTTTGCATTTTCGTCCATTGAACAATGTCCAATCCATTTTCCCCAAAGTCCCCAACCGGTCTTCTCCCCGTAATAAGCTCCAAAAGCACCACACCATAACTATATACATCACTCTTCTCATCAATCTTCAATGTGTATGCATATTCTGTTACCACCAACAAGTCATTTAATTACATAATTTTTTCTTCTAAGTAAGAATAATGTATAGTATAACTTAAACAACAGTTTGTGTCGGTATAGTATCATATAGAACATCATCACCTTTATCGGGATAAGAGAAAGTGTAGCTTTGGATCCCAATCCGGATACTTTCCCTTTAAATTTCACATGCATGTTTTTTATTGGGAGTCGATCAAAGTATTATTTCAGACTTAAACATGAAGAAGCGGGTTTCTTTTTTCCCTTTTTCTTTCTAAAATTTGACTAACAATAAATACTCTTTGAATTAAACATGTACAATTGATAGTTAATTAAGATCAAAATATTTAATACCTGGAGCGATATAGCCATACGAGCCTGCGATTGCGGACATACACTCCGATGCTCCACCCACATTCAAGAACTTTGCAAGCCCGAAATCGGCTACATGTGCCTCAAAATCCGAACTAATTAAGATATTGTTGGACTTCACGTCTCTATGAATGATAAGAGGTGAACAATCATGGTGCAAATACGAAAGACCCTTCGCAGCTTCTATAGCTATTTTAAGCCTCGTATCCCACTTAAGAACGCAACCACCTTTCTTTCCATGAAGGAGTTCACCTAAACTACCATTCGGCATGTACTCATAGATCAATAGATTTGTCTCCTTGTTCGAACAAAGTGCCATTAACCTCACTATATACCGATGTCTGATCCTTCCTAGTGTTTGCATCTCTGCTGATAAACCACTGTCGTGTGAACCACCATGTCCTTTACTTGTTCCCAACTTCTTGATTGCCACTTGCTCTCCATTTGGCATTGTTCCACCATAAACAACACCAGCACCACCTTGTCCGATTATGTTATTGTCCTTTAAGCATTCGAGAATATCTTGGCTTCCGAACTCTAGCTTTTGAAATGCAGTGAGCTTCCATGTTGATTTAGAAGGTGTTCTCATCTTTCTTGTCTTGATAACTGCTAATATAACGAATGCTAGAGAACAAACTAAAAGACCTAAAGCGAAAACAAGCTTGTATCTTGGAGGAACCTTTGTGGTTTTGTTATCTACTTGCTTGTTGTTTTGTTGAAGCGATGTTGAAGATGAGTTGTTGCAGGTGTGGTTAAGGTAGGGTATACAGAGGTTAGGGTTGCCGGAAAATGAACTGGGTTTCATGAGAGAGTACTGGCCGATCTCCGGGATCGAACCAGATAAGTTGTTGTGAGAGAAATCGACGGATGTAAGGCTCTTCATGGAACCGAATTCGTCAGGTAGGGTTTCATTCAAGTGGTTCCATGAAACATTGAGATAATTCAGTATGTGGAGTTGTGATATTTGAGGAGGCATTGGACCTGTGAGTTGGTTTCGACTAAGATCCAGATACGTGAGTGACGAACAATGAGAAATCTCCGGCGGAATTCCGCCGGAAAATTTGTTTCGACTCATATCCAACTTTAGTACGTTCTTCAAACCTCCTATCTCGCCGGGAATGTCGCCGGAGAGATTGTTTCCATCCAAGAGAAGGATTTTGAGCCCCAAGAAGTTTCCGAGAGAAGTAGGAAGAACACCCGATAAGCGATTGTTTGAAAGATTCAACTGAGCCAACAACTTGGAGGGACCCTTCTGGCCATTTGAGGTTAATTCTTCCAGCTGTCCAGCTAAATAATTATTCTGCAATTCAACAAGCGACAACGAAGGTAAATACAAGAAGCCTTTTGGAAGCGATCCACTCAGATAATTCTGTCCCATTCGTACTCTGCTAAGTGACTCGCATTTACCAAGATCATCTGGTAATGACCCGAACAAGAAATTGTTGAACAAAATCAAGATTTCCAACTTCCGGCCAAAGCACAAAGACTTCGGGATAACTCCGGTGAGTTTATTAGTAGAAAGATCAAGTGTTTTAAGTTTACCATTCTGTCCTAGCATCGGAGGAATGGTACCTGTGAAGTTATTTTCCCAAAGACTAAGAGATTCCAACTTGGGTAGCTCTGCAATGAACATAGAAATGTCTCCATGCAATCTGTTGATGAAAAGATTCAATACTGTCAGCTCTTTCAGAGAAGATAACTCCGGTGGAACCTCACCTACGATCTGATTGTTCGAAAGATCGAGATATTTCAAGCTAACCAAATTGCTCAACGAAGAAGGAATCAAACCCACCAACCGATTCGTCTGTAAGTAGAGAGTATCTAACTTCGTCAAGTTCCCGAGTTCGTTTGGGATTTTACCTTCTAACCCACAGTTCGACATGTCAAGATGAACCAAGTTCACCAACTTACCAAACTCCACTGGGATTCCGCCGTTAAATTGATTAAAATAACCCAGAGAAAGCTGTTTCAGATTTGTCAGGTTCCCAAGGTGGCTAGGGATAAAACCCCGCAAGTCGTTTCCACCGAGGTGGAGGAACGTAAGCTGCTGCAGACCACCGTAAGATGCCGGAATTTCACCGGAAAAGTAATTCCCGCCGAGGTTCAAGTGTTGGAGACTGGTCAGCCGAGATACGCCGACGGGAAGCAAGCTTGAGAAATTGTTGTTGTAAGCGTCCAGAACTTCAATTCTCTTAAGTAACGTGAAATTAAACTCAAGACCTCCATCGAACATGTTGTTGGATATGTTGAGAAACCGAAGCCTTGTTAACTCATGAATCCTCGCCGGAAATGCACCTGAGAAACCATTCCCAGGCACTGAAAGAGTTTCAAGGGAACGGAGCTGTGTGATCGCCGGTGAAAGTGTGCCAGAGAGGTTTAAATTCGATATGTCCAGAGAGACGACGGAGAAGGTGGCGTTATCACAGGTGACGCCGCTCCAGTTTGAACAAACCGAAGCGTAATCCACGAGATTCCAGTTAACCAAAAAAGGGTGATCGGAGACTCCAAAAGACTGTTTCAAGGTAACGAGAATCGACGCTTGTTTTTTCAGTGAGGAATGAGTTTTAGCCGAATGACAACAATTGAACAAGACAAAGAAGACAAAATAAGTGAGGAATGGTAGCTTCATTTTGGAAGAAATGAGCATTGTAATGAAGGCTTTCAGGGCCTATATGTGGTTTATTTGCTGATGCATCAATGACAGATTTTGGATGTTGTCGAGTGATGATAGCAACTTCTGCCTTCTTATATTCGTATGGTTTCAAAGATTTGAATTCTTAACACTCTCTCAGTATTTTTGTCAGAAATGCATGCAAATATAGTGGACAAATTATACAGTATTGTATCATGTCAATTATGTTAATAACAATCAAATTCGTTAGTGATAACGGACTATTATCTTGTAAAACCTGATGAGAAAAACCACTGCCAACATTCCATTTAGTTTATTGGATTTTGGATCATCTTTAACTTTATGAGATAAAGCAAAAGCATTCTTTGATAAAGAAGATGCACTTCCACTGTCAACATACTATGATCCACCAAACCTCCGACCCCTCTTAGCTTTTTTATCTTCACACTGTATAATTACAAAATTGCCCCCACAAAATACACACTCCATGGATACCATACCCCGTATATACATTTACACAAAAAGAAATAATCGAATAACTCCTCATCAAAAATTAATTATTCATGGCAACCATATATAGAAGTTGAAGCACACACATGACACTATGAAGAAAGTTTAAATTTCAGACACCTATAGAGTGTGTAGATTGTTTAAACATCATGTTCTTTTTTTAAAGTTGATATTGTATCGATGTATATGCACCTTCTAGTGAAGTCATGAAGAATAATTAATGTGGAAGAACATTATTATAATGAATTGGAATTATGTAACACATTAATTAGTGTGTTAAATATTTGTCCATCCAATAGCACTAGTGCAACTTTGAATGAGGCTCTTGTCGCTTTAAAGAAAAAGCAAAAGCAAAAGCATTGCTTTTATTTTACACTTTGTTGGGATTCATTCTTCAATATGCTTGGCATGGCCTATGTCTGTATGGTTTGGGAAACTAATATTATTATTTGGTCAAAGGTTAGTGAAAAACAGAAGCACCAAGTATCAGTGGTTTTGCAGAGCATATTTTGATGTCTAGGGAGTTCTAATACGGAATTATCAATTTGTTCAAATTTTTAGTATAATATCATAAACTAGAAAAGATTCACCCAATAGAAAAGTTATAACTTTGTTGGGATTAGTCTCTTCTTTTATTTAGTTGTAGATTTGTTTTGGCTTTCATTTTTATAAATCTTATTTGGAAACAAAAGTAATCAAGAAACATAGATTGAAATCTTATTTGGAAACAAAAGTAATCAAGAAACATAGATTGGGCCCCACAAGATGTAGTAATGAAAATGGAACATCGTTTGACATAATTAAATTCCTCGTCCAGAAATATAGTATGTGAAATAATGATGTGGTACCAAAATGTTGGGGAAGGGGCAAAGAAGGAATATGATAATATGAGTGTATATGTGGGGAAGAGGATGCATGCAAAATATTGAATCACTAGTATTTTGAGTGGCAACAAACACTTTTGAGCATATGTCGAGCCCCATGTCTGCCCATAATTAATATATAATCAATCATGATGATAAAACACAACCAATTATCACAAAGGAAACTTCCATATGTAATCCTCAACCTTATCATAAGTTATCACATTAACTAAAAAATAGTTTAGTAAAACTGGGTCAAACAAGCTACTATTCAGCTCCACCACTTGTCACCCAAGACCCTCTTCACAGTTGTTTATTGGTTTATAATGTTACATTTGATGCAATGATTGAATAGGTGTTAGTCATGACTCCGAAAGCTTTCTCTCTGTTTTTGATATGTTATCTTAAAAAAATAATAATAAATAAATATATATATATATATATATATATATATATATATATATATATATATATATATATATATATATATATATATATATATATATATATATAAATAAACAAGATACAATTCAAAGAAGGAAAAAACACATATGTAACCCTAAATTAATGGTAAATTATGGTACCTACCTTATATGAAAAGTGATAAATCACTAACACCCCGATCCCTCCTCAAGTTGGTGAAGAATAAACTAGATTGAGTTTGTAAATGAACCATATCTTTCCGGACATATATATTGGCGAACAATATGGCAATCAATTGCAATGTGTTTCATTTACTTGTAAAATATGTTATTATTGGTAATTTAAATGACACTACGATTATCAAACAATAGAGAGGTGGGAGTGTATTCATAAGCCCTCATGTCTGATAGGAACCAAAAAAGCCAAATCGACTCATGATTAACTTCATAGACCACAATATCAAATATTGCGTTTTTTGTTATGTCAAGAAAGAAATAATATGGTGTGGCCCAATCACAATCCCAAGCAACAACTGATATAATCTCCAAGAGTCAAGGACGGATGTGGGGAAGAAGTTTAGTCCATGAACATGGTACCCTTAAGAGACATTATAGAATTTGCAATACATTGGCATTATGGTTTGAGAAGGGGAAGCCAAGAACTAAATGGTTGTATAAAAAATAAGCTAGATATGATCATGTGATATTAGGGTATACCAAGAAACCAATCATGTTATGATGTAGAAAGGATCACAAGTTCACACAGTAGAAACAAACCAAAGGAAAAGAAAAAATATGAGAAGCAACTCACATACCTTAATTCATCACTATAGCACACATGAATAGAGATTAGACCTTTTTGGCTTTATATATGATGGATGTCATTATTTAATTTAGAATATTGTGTTAACTGATAAATCTAGTGCACATGGATAAAGATATCGTGTAAATTAGAGACACCCCCACATTAAAATTTTAGGTATACGTGATGGATTTTCATAGTACGATGTTATTTTGTAATTTACATTTGTATTTGATAGAGACGTTGGAAATTGATGGCTTTATAGCAATTACCTATTCTTAGGTAGATAAAATTTGATTTATCAAAACTTTGGAATTTGTATTATATTGAGTTAAATAATTAGTATTTTAATTAAATGGATGGGTATAAAAAGCCAAAGAAAACCTCATTATGGATTTTGGTTTGTGTTCTTATGGCATTGAAAGAGAAATGATGTAATACCTTGTTTCGAATTGTTTTATAATTCGGGGTTATGACTCGAAGATCGATTACCATAAGATTTAGGCCTTGGGGAAAGAGAGGTTCAGACCCATTTGGTTGTGGATAATGTAGGTTGTGGGTACTGAGACTTCGATTGGTGCTTTGGAGCCTAAGAGTATAATAATAAAGTGATAGTTCGGGCCTTTCATGAATTTTGGATTTAAGTTCGAAAGGTCCTAAGGCAAAGGAGAGTATAGGATCGTAGGGCTTCTCATTACCTTTTTGTGGATATAAGGATCTTCAAAATCAGAGATAGAACGAAGAAGTTATGGCCTTCAAAAGTTAGGAGGTTTTTGGGCTAAGCTTAGTACATTGGGTGTACAGGGTGTACGTCGGGCATACTATCTCGGATGGATTGTGCATTCCCTTGGAGTACGTTGGGCGTACGTGGAGTACGCAGGACATACTCCAGTAAGGTTCAAACCTTAATTTAGGGTCTTGGACCCTATTTAAAGGAATTAACTCATTCTCAAACCCTCTTATCTTCAGCCTCCATCACCCTTAACCCTAAATTCAAAACCCTAGGATCTCTTGTGTGAATTTTAAGCCTTGGTTTGGTTGTTGCTGGACTTTGGAGAAGGACAGATATTGTGAGAAGCATTGTTTGGCTTGGAGGTTATGGAACCAAGCCCTAATCATCTTAATCAACTTCCAGGAGGTATAACGTTTCTAACTTGATGGCTCTATGTGTTAGATCTATTCTAGGGCTTTTTTTGGATTATTATGGCCCCTGGAGTCATTCTTGTGAGTATTAGCTACTCCATGAGCTTATAATGTTAGATTTTAGCCTTTTTGAGTTTGTTAGTGTATAAAAATGTCATCTTGATGGGTTTTTATGAGTCATGCTAAAGTTGGTATTCATATTATGGGTTTGGATGGATAAAAACGGGTTTTGGGTCCCATTAAGACATGTAAATGAGTAATGTTGTCAACATTGTGGTTTAAGACCTTATTTAGAGGTTGGATCTTAGTTTAGACATTTTAGTCTTAAGCATTAAGTGTTTAATGTGAGTTTTGGCCATCTGATGAGTACGATGGTTGTACATATGTGTACGCTCGGCGTAATGCATGGATTCCTCGTTTGTAAGCTCTGGTGAGTTGTACCTTGTGCATCATCAGGCAGTATGCAGAGCGTACCAATTTGGTACATGGGGCGTACTCCTGGAAAGATCTTTTTGGTCTTTGGGTCTTTTGGGAGTTGGGCCATGGTTTTTTGGATTAGATATAGGAAGGGTAAAATGGTATTTTACACATTAGAAGGATAGGATATGGTTTGGACATTGGATTTTGGGAAATGTTCTTAATTATTGATCGGGAGTAATTTGGTTGTGTTCAGTGTGAGGATCCCGATAGCAACAACATGTGTGTTTCGGTTATCTTGGATTAAGGTGAGTCTCCTCACTGTACCCATGGGTCAAAGGCACCAATGTTGGCCCACTAAGATATGATATGTTAGTTGTCTTTATGAATCTTTCTTGGTATGTTGGGTTAGGTCCACTATATGACGGGCTAGGCCTATTTGTATGTTGGGTTGGGCCCATGGATCTGGAAGGACTAGGCCTAATGTATGTTATGTAGGATGCTATCTGTCTCTGTGACTCTTGCATTTGTATGATGGGTTGGGTCTGTTGGTTTGGAAGGGTTAGGCCCATTATAGTGGGAAGGGCCCAATATGTAGGCTAGGCCCAATGATATTTTTGGTATGTGGTATTTTGGGGAACTCACTATGCTTACGGTTTTTATGGTTATGGTTTCAAGTAGTTCCGGTTCGAAAGAGAATGTCCTGACTTGATCGCAACGTATCCACCCATGTTTTCTGCAACTTTATGATTTTGGGATTGTACTCCGGTAACTATTTTTATTCTAATATACTTTTAAATGACTGGAAAAGGATAATTGGTGTTTCTAGATGAATTAAAAATGAAATTTTACCTTATAACTTTTGGGGTGTTACAAATTAAGAGGAGAAAAAGTGTGAAATTCTGATTTTTGTCAAGAATCGGGAATAAAACTCACTGACTTAAAGAGTAGGCATCTCATATTGTGAAAATCAATTATAGATCTCATGACGGCATTATTCTTCTTCTAAATGAGTGGTTTTCGTTGAGAAAGTAAGGAAATGAGAAAAACCTATATTCCAGTAAGGACTAATGTGGTTGATGACTAAAATGATGCTAGAGAAATGTTTATAATATATTAACCCTAATGTTTCCATGTGATGGAGTCCTAACAGTTATGGTGCAGAATTCCATAAATAAGGTCTATGGTTCAAAATAAACTTTGACAAACTTAAAATATTGCTAGTGCTCAATGACTTCCCCACATGTGATATTATGATG